GCCCCGTCCTCGACGCCCCCGTCGTGGCAGATCGATGCGACGCGTCCTGAGCTACTGCCGCTATGCGGGGATGGGGCGTGGCGGCTCGGCCGGACTCGGCGTGTGTATTGTACGAGACCAAGATGAAAACCCCGAGCCGGATACGCGCGGAGGGAACTCTCGCCAGCGACGGCAAAAAGGTGAAGGCCCCGGGGGGACTCGAACCTCCGCCACGCTGCTGCAGCCACCCTGTTGTTTCAGTTGAGGGAGTTGAGGTGGGACCGCGAAGGACCGCTGTCAACCACCAATATACCCCGATGATAGGATGCACCCGACATTGCAATTGGATGCAACCAGGTGAAAAGATTTACCTGGCAGCTAGGTGGAGATTTGGCATCCTCATGTGATAAGAGACGTGTGATAGAAGCACAATGGATCAACTGACTGCAGCCCAACTGCAGCCACAACATCGGATCATCTACGAAACAATGGATTCTCTACCCAATAATGTCGAAAATCAAACAGTGGCTCTCCTATCCAAATCCTCTATCCCACAGAGGATCCACAAGTGGATCCACTATCCAACAGTGGATCGGCTATCCAACAGTGGATCCGCTATCCAACAGTGGATCCACTATCCAACAGTGGATCCACTATCCGGCAGTGGATCCACTATCCAACAGTGGATCCACTATCCGGCAGTGGATCCACTATCCAACAGTACTATCCAACAGTGGATCCACTATCCAACAGTGGATCCACTATCCAACAGTAGATCCTATATGATGGAACTCAATTGCCCACCCAAGAAGTGTCCCGACCCAAATTTGGGCGATGAAACGTTCCTTCGTCAAATTTAGGCGATAAGTGACCCTTTCATTCTCAGTGTAAACTGATTGCGACAGTATACACTGCAAAAAAAGTGTAGATAGTACAACAAAAGTACAACAGAAACTGTACAATAAAAGTACAACAGCGATTGTAGAAAGTACAACGAGAATTGTACAAACCACAACGAGCCCTGGACTGCACAGCACTTGTCATGCCGGTTCCATTGTACTTTGTACAACAATTGTTGTACTTGAAAAGTACACTAAATTCCTGATAAAAAATTTGCCAGAAATTTGTGTACTTTTGTTGTGGTTATTTCCTGCAGTGTAGAGATACGTATCAAGAAAGTTACGATGCGGGAAGGAAATAGTGATAGAGAGCATACCACGGAGCATGGACCAAAGGTTAAAATGAAAAATGCGACGTAAGAAACAGACTTTGATGCTACGGAACGTCAGATAACCAAAACATGCTGTTTTTGATTTGGTTTTCGAAGGAAGCAAAGGATGGGACAAGATGGCATGTGACGAAAAGGATACACAAGGGTGAAAGGGAACGGCGAGGGATTGAAAGAGAAGGACGGAACAGGCGGGAAGGGATGGAATGGGAATAGGATGGATGCAGGGAGGGGAAGGAACCAACTCGACAACCCTCTCACGGTCATATCTGTATCAGATCGACACATGTGCGGTACACAGCGTGCCCATGCAACCGTGTGCGCCCCGCCAGCCTCGCTCGCTCACCCTGCTAGCCGCGCGTCACAAGACGAGATAGGAGCGACGCAAGTCACCCCATGTGTGGCGCGACGCCGAACCGAGGACCCCGTGCCGATCAGTTGGTCGGAAAGAGACGAGGAAAAAGAATTGAGATTGGAGGAGAAAGAGAAACTAGTGTATTTACAAACCGAAAAACATCTAATGCTTGTAGTATCCTGCTTACACCATTTATATGGGGTGTTCTGAGATCTAGCGCCTTTATCAGTTGCATCCAGAGCGCCTAAAGGTGCCTCCTGGTAAAACGACAAAGACGCTTCCCACCGAAACGCCTTTGCCACTCTCTGTCCAGGCACCTTGCAGACAAATCAGTCAATGAACGATAGCATTTGATGAATTCAATGAGCCCCTCCGTCCGAAGACGCGTCCTTTGAAAACACCTTTGATATTTATAGCAGCTTGGGACCATTGACAAGGCAGCAAACACCGCTCTTTTGTGGCTTCTAAACATGGCTTGCAAAAGGTCCGTGGGGGGAACTTTTTGATCCAGGGGCTTATTGAAGCAATCAAATGCTATCATGCATTGACTGGTTTGTCTGCAAGGTGTCTGTGCAGAGAGCGACGAAGGCCTCACTGTGAGAAAAAAGTACGGAAAAAGTACGGAACATGTCTGGTCAATAATTTGCCTGGAACGTCCGTACTTGCCAACTACGGAACGTTCCGTACTTTTTTTCCGTACCCATTTACATGGGTTCATATGGAGCAAGTACGGAACGTTCCGTACTTTTCTCCGTACCTCCGTTCTATATTTTTCTGTACCATTTCCGTACAAAAGTACGGAATTTTTTACAGTGCTTTCAGTAGGCAGGCGCTCTAAAAGAGGATGCAACTGACAAAATAGCTCTCTCTATCAGAGCTTTCTTCCAAATTCAGAGTGTAACAAAGCTATCACAGTTTTCCGAGCAGTTTTCAACGTTGTCTGCCCAATCCTTGCAAAAACGGTTACAAAAAGGCAACAGTCCTGACAGTGTAAGAGACTTCGCGCACAGCGACAAAACGAGTACTAAAGCCACCCGAGTGACGCAGACCGGTGGCTCGGTCCTGTCGCGGCACGAACCAACAGCCGGACGGCCGACTAGTCTGGAGTCTCGGGCCAAGAATATCCGGTGCTAATTATTCGGCGGAGACAATCTAACCGCCGTCGTGGTCATGAACCGAGACCTGCCTCATGAATATACAACCCTGGCCCTGGCGGCGCAGCTGGAAGAAGGAGGGGAGAGGGGAAAGGGAGGGGGCTGGCAGGCGTTAAGGGGTGGTATTACGTGCCTCGCTGAAATCGAACACGACTTGTCACAGAAAAGCACTGGTCCCTGCCCTCAGCCTAGCAAGAGGTGCAAAGGCAATGTTAAGATCAATTTGAATTAGAGACAATGGTTCGGGCACACATATGACAACATTCAAACAATTTTATGGCAATTTTGACGTTGTTTTGAGGTTCTTTTGTATTAATTTAGCAGCAATTTCGCAGTAACACTTGATACTGGTACAAAATTTAATACTGCGTGAGGTTGTGCGCAAAAAAATTCCATGGCCATAGTCTTTCTTTTACATTTGGTGTGCATTCGCCACATTTTGCGTTGCAACCGTCATATTACAGAAACATAAAAGACTAAAATTGCCTGTTAACCGTCCACCTGCCAACGTGGGGTAGCATCTAACGACATGGCGAAAAAAAAAACCCACAAGACAATTAAAGGCACAAAAAACGGTAATCAAGATTTGAAACAAAAACAAAGACAATTGGTCGCGGCTCCTTGCGCCCGTGGCGTGGCGGCGACTGGGGGACGACACCTACAGGAGCGATGTGCGATGACTCGGGCTGACCCCTCCGGGGGACTCATTCCGCGCGGCGTTCTGTCTCTCTTGCCGACGCGGGACGCCCCGTCGGTGCGAGAGAGACAGAGCGACGAGAGTTGGGAATCGGTCTGCACGGCCCTCGCTACAATTCATTTAGCAATTCTAATGAGCGAAGGGCGACGCCATGGCCTCGGCGGCCTCGGCCGGGGAGGGTGGAGGCCGATTCGCACTGATTGTTTATTAGTGTGGTAATTAGGTGGGACTCCCATTGGTAGTCGAAATATCGCCCACACTTCTGTTGACTCACAGACGCACAAAAAACGACAGCAAACACAAACACACACACACACACACAGGCTTATTTACTGTCTGGCGTGCGCTCGGCTTCTGAGCTACCCTAACGCGGATTGTTTTTTTTGTTTCGCACTTTCCTCCCCGTTTTTTTTCCGCGACTTTGCTTCTGTTTGCGAAGCCGTCGTCGAGTTTCTCGGCGAAACCGATCCGCGTTGACGTGTCATTGCCATTAATTTGACTCCTTGCACGACGCTCCCATCACAATCTGAAGTCGTGATTTGATTTAGCTATGAAATGGAAAAAAGTACCAGCCAAAAACACAGAAAAATAGTTTTATCCAAAGGATTGACATGATGCTCAGTCGTCGATTCATCAACCAATCAACCCCTTTGCATGAATTCTATGGATTTTTTTCTGGTCAAACAGGTTGTTTAACTGTCAACATAACCCTTGTTTAGACAACAAATGATAATCCATTCTGAGTCAAAGATATTTTGATGCGCCATAATACCTGCTGCACGCAGCAATTTTTAAATAATTTGAGTTTGTAAAATCAATGCTGTGCATTGATAACAGTGGTATGAAAGAGGACGTGTCATAAGAAACACTTCAAAATTCAAAAGAAATCGACCAGGAACGTAAACATATTTTACAATGAAACACCAGAATTGTAAGGTTCTCCTACCAAGATATGAAGAAAGATAAACAAATTTGTTTATTATTACCCAGGATTTTGAAACAAATTCCAAAAATGTCAGGGGGCGACCGAGTGCATGCGTACAGCTGAGCGGTTAGTCTGCACTCTGAAGATCCTACAGATCATTTTCTTGGCAATGCGAACAAAAGTCTTACTATTATGACTGCACGGCATTTCTATGTTGGAAAGTGAGGGTGTGGGATGCTTCCAGACCGAGTGGGAACGAAACGCCCTTCATAACGGCCGTCTGAGGCGCTTGAGACGATGCAAATGGAAGTTATCGAGACAAAGTTTATCTCTGGAAATGTAGAGAGGACGAAGGAAGCGGCCGCCAAACGGCTTGTCCTAGGGGAGGAAGTTTTGACGCCCGCGGAGTGGTATCGGCCCTGATTTAAGCGGAAGGGGGTGAGGGAAGGGGTTCGGGAGGGAGTGGGGAAGGTGCGGGGGAGGTCGCATTCACCTCGACGAAAGTGGAAAGATGGCCTGGGTAGATTTGCAAGTCAAAAGCGGGGGCCACCTCTCACTGGAGTTCGGGTGGAGGTAGAGTAGAGAGGCAAGATAGACAGGATAGAATGGCTGGGGTGGCATTGAGAGAGAGGGAGCGAGATAGAAACTCATTGCGCGCTTACCTGGCGTTTGACTGGCGGCATGTCCACCCCACGATCCTTTGTACGAGGTGTCTGAAACAACAAACACACAGAAGTGAGCTTTAGGGTTCTCATCAACGTCTCTGAAAGCATCCGTAGACTGAAGTATTGGCAAAAGGGTCCCCTAACCCAGTATTTTGCATAACAGAGATTGTTTGAGTCGGATTCTTTGGAAAATCCTGTAAAATTTGTCCCGTTTTATGCTTATATACAGAAGTTTCTGACGCTAAATTGTGAGATTGTCTCTGCTCCTTGCGTACACAGATTACTTCAGTGAAGGACCCCAGTACAGGAATGTTTTAAGGTGCGGTTCCTGACATGCATGCGTGAGCAGCCCAGGCGAGGTATTGGGTGGCATGTGCGCGCGTCTGGGTGTGTGTGTGTGTGCGTGTGTGTGCATGCGAGTGAGTTAGAGACAGGCCCACCGCACACGTCAAACATCAACACCAAAAACAACAACGCCCTATTTTCCCTGGGCCGCCAGGTACACACCGCCCGTGATAGTTTGATCAAACAACAAGAGCGGCAGCAACAACTCGGCCTGACGGCTCGCCGCACCCAATAACAACTTTTTCAACTTGAATGGCGGCGCTCCTCACCTCGCTCCGGGATGCCTTGAGGTGAAGTTATCGACCAGTCAGTCCACTGCGCCCTTCACAGCCCCCCCCCAAAAAAAAAAAACTAGAGTTTGCTCGTCATAAGAGCAGGGGGTTCTACAAGACGCTTCTGTTCCTCGGGTATCGTCACTGTAGGTGCTGCCCGCGGCCGGCCGAGCGGGAACCTCAACGCGCCGTACGCGCAAAGCGTGGACGGCCCCTGGCGTGGCACGCAGCGCTTGGGGCACTCAACTGCCGGGCCGAAGGCGAATCGTTTGTAACAAGCAAGGATGTTTCTCTGTTGCTGTCATCACAGTTCAATGCCACGTGGCATGTTTAGCGCCAGACAGAAATAAAAAATAGAAAACCCACAAAAATCACGACATGAATGACAGAACAGGACATGGATTGTGGAGGAAATGGGTGACATGCCATCATCCAAGGCGATGATACAAGGATGGGTTCCGATAGCCTGCTGTTTTCGATCATTGAAGTCACGTGGGCACTCTGATGACACTTCGGTCGGGACTTTTCTATCTTCCTCAACCATGTGGATCACCCGATCACCAAACCAGGGTTTACGGCTCGGCGAAAAGGGATCAAGGAACACGCACAACCACATCCACCAGGTTCGAACCCAAAACTCCCGGCGGCACTCTTAAGTGCCTTAAGTGCTCCATGCATGTACTCAGTAGCACACACCACACAATCGAGTTTCCGATGCATCACGTCTGTGGACGTTGACGATGGTGCTCACAGCTACCTACCAAAGAGCATGGAGAAGTTGGTCGAGAAGGTGGCCGATCTGCTGAGGTAGTCGGCGGCCGCCGACGTCTTGATGTCCAGCATGGTGGGGGGCCGGGGGTGCGCGGGGCGCGGGGCGCGTGGCGGCCTGGACGAGGCCGAGTGGTCACCCGAGACCGCGCACGGCGCGCATGGCCGAGGCACCGCAGTCTCCCCAGGCAGCACTACAGCGAGCGATCCGCACACACCCGCACGCCAGCACGTTCCGGAAGTATTGACGCCGAAAAGCTTTCCTCGCGACGCGCCGCGCCGCCGGCCCGCCCCTCCACCGCCAGCGGACCGCCGGCGGGGTGGCCGCCTGGCCCGGGCCTGGCCGCGCGGGCCGCCGGGGGTGGGGCTTGGGGAGGGGGAGGCGCCTGGCGATCAATGCGGCCAATCGGAGCGCGCGCCGCGCCCCCACCCCTCGCGCCACCCCTTCCCCCACCCCTCCCCAACCCCGCGGCACCACCCCCCGCGCGGCGAGGAGAGAGTGAGCGGAGTGAGTGGCTCGCGCACAAACAGAAACAACCTGCCGAGCGGCTGGAGCGACTGGAGAGGCGGCTGGAGTGGCCCGCGGAGTGACCGCGGACGCTCCAGGAGACTGATTCCGAGAGCCGTTTTCGCCGCACTGTCTCTCTCGCACTCATGGGGCGTCCCGTATGGGTGCGAGAGAGACGGAGCGACGAAAACGACTCTCGGGATCAGTCTGCAGGACGCCCCGAGGACCAACTCCGGGGACCCACCGCCGGCGCGGCGGGTGTTCGGGTGCCCTTGACGCCCGAACCCCGTGGCGTGGCGGTCACGCGTTTCCTCTCAGTCGCACCCCCGGCAAGAGGGTAAAAAGGGGAAACCAGCGTAAGGGAAAGAAAGCATTGAACAAAAGTTAAGTCAAACTGACTCAGATTATACGTCTTAGCAGTTTTGATTTAGAAGCCCCCACATTTTTCACTCATGAAAGTCTACGAAGCATCTGCTTTGTAGAATTGTTTAACGAACGATTTTGCTTCGTGACACTTTGTAGACTTTTATACTGTCAACGAGTTGATTTGACACACTGTTGGGCGTGTGATCATCTGACAGAACAACGTATCTTCATAGGGAATCCCACAGTAGATACGCTGTTACGTACGAGTGCCACACAGGTGAGGTGGTGGCCGAGAAGAGTGTCCAGTCCTGAAGACTGATCCCCTAGTCTTCATCGCTGTGTCTCTGTCACACCCATGAAAGTATCCTCTGAGCGAGGGGTGAATTACTCAGAGTTCTGGAGGAGTACATGAGTACGGGTGAGTACACCTTCGAAAACTCATAAATTTCACATTTTTAAACGTTTAAAACCTTTATTTAGTGTTTCAGACAATACGCAACACCAAGCCTTACTTAAAACTAACAAATTTTGCTAAATTTTAACTTTTGAGTACACTGAGTTCGGGCCAATTTGTGCACGTGAGTACACTGGTTCACCCCTCGCCTCTGAGTGCGGCAGAGACAGAGCGACGAAAACGGCTCTCGGAGTCAGCGTGTGCTGCCCCATCTGACCCTCGCGGTGCGCGTGGCACAGCAGCCGAGGCAGCAGCAGGTGCGCACTCACTGGACCTCTCGACCGCCCCACCCCTTCCGCAGCAGCCCCGGTGCTTGCGCGGGAACAGGAAAATAGGAAACGGGGGGGGGGAGGAAAAGTGGCAAAGGGGGAGAGGAGAAGGGGGAAGGGGAAAGGAAAAGAGAAGAGGGAAAAGGGGGAGAAGAAACGGGGTGAGGTGAAAGGGGTTAAGGGGTAAGGGGGCTAGGGGAAGAGGAAAAGGCGGGGGGGGGGAGGGGGCTGAGGGAAAGAGGAAAAGGAGGAGGAGAAAAGGTGAAGGGGTAAGGGGGGTAGAGGAACGAGGGGAGGGGAACAGGGGGAAGTGAAGAGAGGAAGAGGGGGCGGGGGCGCACCGCCGGAGACCGCCACCGCCGCTACCGGCAACAATTTCCGACCGGGCCGGCTGGGCCTATCATAGGATGAACGGGGCGGGATATCTTGTGGCGCCGCGACGCGATTGTCCGACGAGCAGCCGCGGAAACCGAGACCGCGGCGCCGCCGGGAAAAGGGCAGAAAGAGAGAGAGAGAGAGAGAGAGAGCGAGAGAGAGAGCGAGAGAGAGAGCGAGAGAGAGAGCGAGAGAGAGAGAGAGAGAGAGAGAGAGAGAGAGAGAGAGAGAGAGAGAGAGAGAGAGAGAGAGAGAGAGAGAGTTTAGTTTAGAACAACGTTCTTTCAATGGGTTTCTCAAAGGCCCTCACGCCCTTCGACCACCGATGTGAGGTCCTCAAAACAGTTCTTAGTTGCACGGAAAAACGTTCAAACGTTTTTATGGTTGCTACACACTAAATGTCATGGGACTTTTTTTGTCCCATGAATGATGCAATTTTAAGCACATCCGGTGGTGATGCAATTTTGTGTCAGCCAGGCGGGACAAATTGTCTAATGAAAGTACGATTTGCAGCAGGTGTCAGACAAAATGTGTCGCCAGGCGGGAACAAAATTGTATCAGCGTCGGATGTGCTTAAAATTGCATAAGTCGTGGGACAAAAAAAGTCCCATGACATTAAGTGTGTACGTATCTTCTTCAAAATCAAGACTGTCACCCGCAATCATCCTCCCCTACCCTCAAAGCCGTCCTTGTGTGAAACGCTTTCATCCCTTCTTGTGTGCTTGATCAGCTAATTAATAATCCACATACTTAACACCGTTACCGGCGGCGAAATGCGGTCATTCGCCACCCGACCACCTTTCCCCATCTTTCCTCTTCACCTGCGCAGGGGTGTCTCGCCGGCCGCTCGCAGATTTTCCGACAGATAAATCCGACGCACTGCTTTCTCGACCGACTCCCCCTCCCCTCTTTTCGACCGGTGGCCACCGCGAATCTCGACAACAAACTACACTGTATCTTAACTGCATAATCCACTTGAGGGAGGCGGGCGGGCCGCGCCGCGAGGGAGCCACTTTGATCTCCCGATCGGGGCAGCGATGCCGCCGCCCTCGCTCTGTCTCTCTCGCACCCCTAGGCCACACTCCGTGAGAGCGAGAGAGACTGAGCGGGCAGGGCGGCGGCGGCGGGGTGGAACACTGGGTGGAACCGCTGTCACAATGAGAGCACAATGATGACACCAATACTCCCCGAGGGTGGGTCGAGCAGCCGCCCGTAGTCGCTCTCTCTCTCTCTCTCCCTCTCGCACCGCCGACGGGACGCCCCGCGAGTGCGAGAGAGACAGAGCGACGAAGCGACCGATTCGGGACGGGTCCGCTGGCCGGGCCCGGTGCGGTGCGCCGCGCCTCCTCCGAGCCGCCTCGCCTCGGGGCGGAGGACCCGGCAGACCGATTCCGAGAGCCGTTGTCGTCGCTCTGTCTCTCTCGCACTCGTGGGGCGTGCCCGATAGGTGCGAGAGAGACAGAGCGACGAAGGGTTGGCCGCACCAGCGAGTGGGACAAGGACGGAAAACGAGGCGGAAGTCGAGGGGACCGGAAGTGAAGGGAAGCGCGGGACAAAAAGCAGCCCTTTCAAAGGGGGATGGACGTGTGGGGCCTCGGCGAGCAAACCGACGAGCACACCGACAGACCACGGGTAGGCAGCTAGCACGCGGGCGACAACACACAGCGGACTAGAAGATCGGCGCAGGGCCG